TGAGGAAGGCGATAAATGGCAAGAAGGTTGAAGAGATTTCATCTGCCGTTAGCTCAGATGAGATGAAAAGAGAGGAGAGAATGCTGCTCTGTCCCCTCTGTCTAGGCCTCACCACATTCCCTATTGGAGTCCATAGCTCTATTCTCTATTGCTTCCAGAGCCTGCTACTCCCTGTTGATAGGTATGAACAACTCTGCACAGGTGAACATCAGGAAAAGGAAAACATTAGGATCAATTTTGGGTAAATAGATTTAAGCAGTAGGGCTGGCCGGTTAGCTCAGTTGGTTACAGTATGGTACTGATAGATTTAAGCAATAAAGCACAGACTTCAGAATCAAACAGGTATGGGCTCAATCCTAACTTTGTCACTTACCTATCTGTGTAACTCTGGGCAATTTCTCAATGATTTCCACATCTATAAAATTTAGGATAAACTTAAAAGATTGTTTTGAGGATTACACAAGAACAATGTATATTGGGCAGATAACAATGTCCAGCATAAGCACTTGCTTCTCTTTGAGCATTTATGACTCTTTAACAGGCATACCTCCTACCCACTCTTTGATGATCTGAAATAGTGACAATACCTTCCAGTAAAAGGGAAAAGTCAGACTTGGGCTTTTCCCAACAGTGCCTCAATGGGATTAATCTCGGAAACTCTGCACATCATATTCTCCTTGTGAAAATTCATAAGGCACATTAGTATATTAAAAGCTCAGAAAATTCTTACAGTAAAGAAACCTATTTGATTTTGTTGAAATTTATTTCACCCTTTTTTTTTCACAATAACTACCCTACTTGCATTTTGAAAAATGCTACTCCAGCAAACAAGCCTATTAAAATTGCTAAAGCAGGAGTGGGGGAGAGGGGAGAAATGGGAAGAGACAAAAACATCACAAAATCTCATCTCTTTTCCAATTACAAAAAAAATTATTTCGAAGAACTCTTAAGGAATACTATTTGTTTTGTGCCACAGATGTGTTTTGAAGACCCATAAAATGACCATCCTCAAATGTTCTGCTCTCAGAACCCCTTTATACTCTTAAAAATCACTGAGAATAGAGGGATGGGGATTGCAAAGCAGCACAAGAAACTGTTAAGGGTGATGAATATGCTCATTATCTTGACTGTGGTGACGGATGATGGTATTATAGTTAAATTTTATGTGACAGCTTGGCTGGATTGTGGTGTCCAGTTGTTTGGTTAAACACTAGTCTAGATGTTGCTAGAAAAAGTATCTGCAGATCTTCCAAATACTGACATATTTCATTGTATAATATCAAAACACTCATTGACTAATATCATCAACAACCTAATCAGAAAAGTTTAAATATGAAGAACTTTCAACCTCACAGTAAAATACAATTTTTCCAAAATTCTAATTTTCACTTGAAAGCTCAAATTTTACATTACCAACAAACATTGTCAGTTTTCTTTGAAGTAACAGGCTTAACATCTACAATCAGTTGACTTTAAATAAAGATTACCCTTGATAATGTAGGTGGGCCTCATCCAATCAGTTTAAGACTCTAAGAACAAACACTGAGGTTTCCTGAAGAAGGAATTCTGCCTCAAGAATGTAACAGAAATCCTGCCAACCTGCCTTCCAGATATCAAACTCAAGACCGCAGCATCAACTCCTATCTGAGTTTCCAGCCTGCGGGCCTGCCCTACTGATTCCAGACTTGCTAGCCCCCACAATGGCACGAGCCAATTCCTTAAAATAATCTCTTTATACATATGCATGTATTCTATTGGTTCTGTTTCTCTGAAGAATCCTGAATAATAAAGATGAATTCACAAGTGTATACACATGCCAAAATTTATTAAATTGTATACTTTATATATGTGTAATTTATTGTATGTTAATTACATATCAATAAAGCCATAAAAAAACTTAATGAGAACCTCAAAGAGCTTTTGTTTTTGTGAGTTCTCAGTCAACATCTAATTAGCACTGAGAAATTTAAAAGATTTAATATACACAATATAAATATATTAACATATATAAATATTTATCTATATTAATGTATACATTTTTATTTTTAAAAGAGATTTATGTTCAAAAACAAAAAATAGTGAGAAAGCGGTGCTTTAAAACTTTTGCAAATCTCTTTACTGTCTGGCTTAAAAGAAGACAATTGGATTCTCATATCTGTTTCAGCATTCAATATGTTGTGATATAATGTTCTTGTTGAAACATATGAAAAAAATCTGGCTTCAATCAGATATGTAGTTGGGAAAGGGAGGAGTATTTTAATAGCCCATTCCTCTCTGATAACACACCAAAACAGGACAAGTGGTCGTTTCCTATACATCAGTTACAATGTGGAATCTAGAACTACACACTTTCAGACACTGTTTCATTACAGTCCATTGATCTATCTTGAACTTTGAATGGATCTTTTACCCATATACTGTTTTGTCATATCACGTTCTGGTCTTCAGGATATATTGCTTCACTGAGTTATACAAATCTCCCCAAGACTAACATATTTCATTGTATAATATCAAAACAAACATATTATTTAATATCATCAACAATCTCATCAGAAAAGTCCTTAAATATGGAGACGTTTCAGGCTCATAGTAAAATGCAATTTTTGCAAAATTCTCATTTTCCTTGAAAGCTCAAATTTTATCATTACCAACAAACACTCTCAGTTTTCCTTGAAGTAACAGGCTCATGTCATTCATTCTCAAGAAAATTTGAATTAAATACCCAAGTATGAATAACTATAATTTTTCAGTTATTCTTTCAAAAATAAAAATGTTATTCCATATAAAAAAAGTGACTAGCTGGTCTCCCAAATGTTTTTTCTCAAGACAACGTAATACTTCAGTATATAGCAGGTGTGCTACATGGTACTTCCCATTTTGTCATGCAGTATTATAAAAACATGCACTAAAAGGTCAAAATTCATTAAAATTAATCATTTTTACCTCATCATAAAAAAACTTTCTTAAGTGAAACTGGCATTTTTTTTTCATTGCAAGCACATGTCAGAAAAGAATGCAATGACGACTAGTGCAGTTTGATGCCACTGCCTTGTTTCGCACTAAGGAATCAGCAACTTTTGTCTACCATTGCTTGTGGATCATCAGTACAAATGTTAATTGGGTGAAAAGGGATGATAACATCTTAGGATTATTACAAAAGTTGCTTTGATCTCATAGATCTCCTGCAAGGTCTCAGGGATCCCCAGAGGCCCATAGTCCAAACATCGAGAACTGCTGATGTAAATAAATATACTTAGATGCTGAAAGGACAATCAAAACATCAGTGGGTCCACAATTTGTCTAAGGTGGAGCATTCCTAATCAGAAACGAGGAGCTGAGGGGCTTGCCTAGAAGCTAGCCGCATTTGCACAGCAAGTTCATTTTACTACGTCTATTAGGAGGGATAAATTTATGTGTAACTAGAGAGTCAACAGTGAAATTTTACACATTATTCTGATTATGGAAATAACTAATGTTATTTCTGATTTATCATGGACATTCTATGTAATATGGACTCATTAGTAAGTGGCTTCATAATCAAATTTCTAAACTAATTTCTGAAAACTAAATGAAGTATCTAACATTTTATTCAATGTAAAACTAAGCAGAAACCGTTGATGTTTTTAAATGGCCTACTGTCAGTTTAACACTGCTAAACAATGGACGGTAGTCATTAGATTTNTCCCATTTTGTCATGCAGTATTATAAAAACATGCACTAAAAGGTCAAAATTCATTAAAATTAATCATTTTTACCTCATCATAAAAAAACTTTCTTAAGTGAAACTGGCATTTTTTTTTTCATTGCAAGCACATGTCAGAAAAGAATGCAATGACGACTAGTGCAGTTTGATGCCACTGCCTTGTTTCGCACTAAGGAATCAGCAACTTTTGTCTACCATTGCTTGTGGATCATCAGTACAAATGTTAATTGGGTGAAAAGGGATGATAACATCTTAGGATTATTACAAAAGTTGCTTTGATCTCATAGATCTCCTGCAAGGTCTCAGGGATCCCCAGAGGCCCATAGTCCAAACATCGAGAACTGCTGATGTAAATAAATATACTTAGATGCTGAAAGGACAATCAAAACATCAGTGGGTCCACAATTTGTCTAAGGTGGAGCATTCCTAATCAGAAACGAGGAGCTGAGGGGCTTGCCTAGAAGCTAGCCGCATTTGCACAGCAAGTTCATTTTACTACGTCTATTAGGAGGGATAAATTTATGTGTAACTAGAGAGTCAACAGTGAAATTTTACACATTATTCTGATTATGGAAATAACTAATGTTATTTCTGATTTATCATGGACATTCTATGTAATATGGACTCATTAGTAAGTGGCTTCATAATCAAATTTCTAAACTAATTTCTGAAAACTAAATGAAGTATCTAACATTTTATTCAATGTAAAACTAAGCAGAAACCGTTGATTCATTAGTAAGTGGCTTCATAATCAAATTTCTAAACTAATTTCTGAAAACTAAATGAAGTATTTAACATTTTATTCAATGTAAAACTAAGCAGAAACAGTTGATAAGTTTTTAAATGGCCTACTGTCAGTTTAACACTGCTAAACAATGGACGGTAGTCATTAGATTTATAACAACACTGGGGCAAATGTTTACAACCACTGTACCTCCTGATTTTAATATTTAGGCCCTTGAAAGATACAATGAAGGACAAGAATACGGATGTTCAAAATACAGTACCTATTAACAACTCTTTTCAATAAAAAACTTTGTCCTGTGATGAAATCAAGAAGCTTATCAACTACAGGCAAAAAACAAAACAAACAAAAGGAAATCTAAAAATATTGATTTAGAAACTGTTTAAAATAAAGCAGAGTGTATATTAACACTTATTTAATAACCCATTTTAAAACGATACTAAAACTCTAGTTATTGAGTCATATATCCTAGTAACTCATGTTATAAAAATACATTTCAAACCATACAATTTAAATTATATAAAACCCAAATAGTGAAGAAGGTCAACTTACTCGATCTGCTAATCCTCCAGGAACTATAGTCCTCACAACCACACCACTTGATTTTCCTCCAACTATTCCAAAACCTAATCCAGAGCCGTCATTAATGAGTTCAACATCTTCAATATGGCCCCAACGAACCTGCAAATTAATAGCAAGTGAGAGCCACAGTGTCGGTAAAACACATAGATTCTTAGCTTTCCAATACAGTAATTACCAAAGTAACAGATCTTCAACAAATTGTACACTCATACAATTAATCAAGACAACTTTCTAGAAGCTAAGAGATACACAATTATATGGTCCCTGCCCTTTAAGGAACTTATAATCCAGTACAGAAAGAAACTAAAACATAAATAATTAAAATACAAGGCAGAATACTGGATCATAATACACTGTACCTCTAAGAGGACAAGAAATGTGTCTTGTTCCCCAATCTATGCTCCATTATCTAGCACAGAGCCTAGCACACAGTAGGAATCAATAAATATGTGTTTGCCTGAATTGAAAGAGGATCACAAAATGTTATAATAATTTTAGGGGTGTGGTGGGGGCACAGGCCAGAAGTCAAATCCAATGAAGAATTATGGAAAGCCTCATACGTGGAAGGAGGGCATTTAAGTTGCACTACAAAGAAAGAAGACATTCAACGAAAAGGGAAATTTAAGAGCAAAGCTAGGCCAGATGGCAGAATGGGTCAAAGATACAGTCAAAACATTGGAGTTAAATGGTTAAACAAGTAGAAATAATTGAAGGGTTTAGAAGAGAGAATACAAGAACAAAGCCACGGTTTACAAAAATTAATTTGGCAGCAAGGTAAAGAGTGAAACGTGAGGACACTAGGTGAAGACACTAATTTAGGAGACCCTTAGGCAGGAAAGGCAAGGCAGGCCTGACTGAAGATACTGGCAATAGAAATAATACAAATCAGACTAAAAGACACAAGTGATTTTCCCCTAACTTGCAGGCTTCCATGAGAAATGTGCATTAAATTCACATAATCCAACTGCAGAACACCACCCTCCCTTGCAAGATCATAAGGGCATACTCATTACTTAGTTTTTCTATTATACTAAATTGGAAAGTTACTATGCAATGTTAAAATACCCAGGAATATTGAGAATGTTTAATAAATTCATGTCTGAAAAAATATCTAGCATCTGGGAAGCAGCAATGTTTGCTAAAATACCATGCCTGAATTAATGATACCAGCTAATATTCACTAAGTGCTTACTCAGCACCAGGCACTGCACTTAGCTCTTCACACGACTTCTCATTCAATCCTCACAACTCTCTGAGAACTAGACACCAGTACTAGTTCCAAGTAACAGATGAAGAAACTGAGTTGTGGAGAAGTCAAAGAACCTGCCCAGTGAGACACAGTAAGCGGAAGAAATGAACTTGAACCCACTGAAGCCTGACTCCAAAGCGCTTGTTCTTTATATGCTAAACAATGTACCACTTTGCTCACTATATTTATTATGTAAATTGCACTCTATAAATATTACTGATTACAACAGGGAAAATGCCTATACTTGTGTGAACTTGTACTGTACCAGATAGCCTATTTTTTCTTTTGTCCCAATAATGAAAATTAAATAAATCAGCTAGCACTTAGTGTTGTAAGAAAATAAGATTTATTAGCTTGCATTCTGAAGATGCAGGCCAAAAATCTGTAAAATGTTACAAAGCAAGTTTAAGGATTCCCAAAAGAGACATATACTTTTATTCTTTTAAATTGTTTAAATTAAAATACACACGTAAGTATACATCCTTATGTGAAATAAAAACTGCTATAATTTTGTAGCATCAATAATCTACTTGTAAACTCCCCATTATGATTTACAAAAATAATACTTTTTAAATAAATAACCAAATCTTACTTAAGACTCTCAACAGTAAGTCTTTAATAAAAACTCCCAATTAGGGCCAGCCTGGTGGCGCACTCGGTAGAGTGCGGTGCTTGGGAGCGTGGCAGCGCTCCCACCGAGGGTTCAGATCCCATATAGAGACTGGTCAGCTCACTGGTTGAGCGTGGTGCGGGCGTGACACCGAGGGTTGCAATCCCGTTACTGGTCACGAAAAAAGACAAAAAGGAAAAAAAAACCAAAAAACTCCCTATTAATTAACTGGCTACATCACCAAGGAACACAGATTCTTTTCATCACCAAATAAATTACACCTAATACTTCAATTTGGCCTCTATATTAAATAATAATCTTAAATAAGGAGACCCATAGAACATTGAAGAGATAAAAAAAACAAAAAACAAAAAAACCTCCATAAAACCTCTTTTTAAATATGCTAATGATGTATTTGGAGATATGATCATCTTCCTTCAACTATAATAAGTAAAATGACACCTTCTAAATGTCTTTATACTTCTTGTAATCAATGGTATAATTTAAAGTTAAGTATTTTTCCCAATTTGCAACTCACTGTTTCAGGCAGAGTTGTATCAGTTAGGCTGGTAGAAACACTGCTTTTTGTATGGACTGGTTCCCTGGCCACAACCAGATGTAAGGATCCAGTGGTTTGTTGTAATAATGCAATCGCTTGCTGATGGGAAATGTTCCGATCCAGTGGTGTGTGATTAATGGCCAATATTTGGTCATTTTCCTTTAACCTGTGATCCCTTAATGGTACAAGAAAAGAAATTTTTGTTTTAAGTGATCTAATGACTTGATTTTTTAAAAAATCTGTTATTCAAGTTAAACAATTTATTGCTTACTGTACTACCTCTTTTGGTACATTTTTTCAAATGATTATTTAATTATATAACAGAGCTCTTCAGAATCCTTTTCATCAAAGTACTCACTAACTAAATAATTAGGTAATATGTCACTAACCACACACACACACACACACACACACACACACACATACACACACTGTAAAAGCCATTTGGTTAGAAAAAACTCACTAACTAAATAATTAGGTAATATGTCACTAACCACACACACACACACACACACACACATACACACACTGTAAAAGCCATTTGGTTAGAAAAAAAAACAAAAAAAATTTATAAAGCCCTACTGCCAAAGTTTTGCAAGTATGGACACTGCCTCCGTTACTGCATGAACTCCTGAACCCCTTCCAATCTGACCCACTCATACCACACTGGAGTTAACTGTTATCTCAACTCCACCAATAACTTCCTTTCTAGCAGATTCACCCCATCTCCATTGTCCTTCATTTCTCCAACATTTGTCAATAGAGGCCAAACTCTTCCTCTCAAAATCCATAGAGATTTCCTTCAAATCTGTATCTGAGCCCTTTTCTCTCTCCCAATACCAATTTCCCAACTGCTAACCAAGGTAAAAAGGACAATTTAAAAAGAAATCAGCAAAATTGCTAAAGAAAAAAAGCACTACTATAGTTAATATTTACTGAGCACTTATAATTATGAGTCAGGTACTGTCTTACATGCTTTACATACATTATCTCATTTAATCCTCACAATCACCTTTTGAAGTACTTAGCTAATTTTTACACACAAGAAATTGAAGCCTAGACAAGCTTAGCATCTTATCTAAAGAGTCCGACTCTGTAGCATAGTCTTTAACTTCTTACGTTAAAGCACATCCTAAAGACAGCCAAGATTTACTCTGCCCCCAGTTTATTTGTATTACCTCCCAAATACCGTGATATTCCTCTTCCTGTTCAACCATTAACACCACATTCTTCCTTTTCCTTCTTTGTCTCTCTGGCATCCACCCATCTCCTCCTTTCCATCCCAAATGTCAACCCTCCAGTTGGGATCCTTATCTAACACCTGAAATTTGTTTTAGATTCTCCTAGGGAACAATTAAGTTGAATATTTCAATTTTTGATGCCAAAATTGTGGGTGGCTCTCACAATAGATCATGTAGCAGTAAAAATGCTGCTTAGAAATCCTTTTATTAATATCAGAAATTGTATATGTTATATTAAATGACAATTAAGATATATTAATTATTTTACTAAGAATAAGATATAAAATTGTATGTATTCTATGATCTTGCATTTATAAAAAGAAAACATTCTAATATAAGAGTATTTTTCCTAGTTGTCTCAGAGTGGTGTAAGTCAAAGTGGGGATTTTTTGCTTGTTATATGTCTACATTTTATAATTTTCTATTGCATATTACTTTCAAAATGATTTTCATAATTTTAAAACATACATTTTTAAATTGAGAAAGCTGCTTATAAATTTTTCCCCAGGCCTAAAGAAACATTTCTCTTTATATGTAAATACTACAGGACAGTATCCAGGAATCACTTCCATTCCTCCATCTCTAGTGTTCTCTTTTCTCTATCCTATTTCTATGCAAAGCTTGTTCAGTCAGGGAAATTTCTTAATTAATCCCAAATGAATGAGTTACTCTTAAATCTTTTCAGCCCTGATGGAACACATTTTTCATAAGTCAGTCCTCAGTTTACTGACTTACAAATTTTCTGTTTTCTAGCAATCAATCTATTTTAATCAACCTTTTCCCCAAACCCAATAGATTTCCAAAACACCTCCTTTCTTTCCAGTTAGAATTCTGCTCAGAATCTGCTCAACCTAAAATAAATAAGATACAAAGAAGTCTTCTGAAAAAATATGATTTTTGATGCATTCTAAAGTTGAATCGAATTAGCTTTACTGCTCCAATTATTTACAATTTAATTCCTCCATACTATTTTGTTATATATAAATATATTTTACATATATAAAATATATACGTGTATGTATAATAGTATCCAATGATACTCTCTATATACAATTTAATGCCCCATACTAATTTATACATATACAATTATATATATGAGGGTACTTCAAAAAGTTCATGGAAAAACAAAATTAGAAGATAATACAAATCTTTCCATTAACTTGTTGAAATACTTCATATAATTGTATATAATTATACTATATGCATATATATAACTCCCCATACTAATTTTTATGTATACATACACACACATGTGCACACACAGACATGGACAGACATATATTTTGAATTCACATTTTCCACTCAAGGGAAGACTAGTTCTCGTCTCTCCTTCACAACATTCAGAAATAATGGATTTCCATGACTTTGAGAGCAAACAGGTCTTAGTCAAGCTCCTAAAATAACACAGTTCTATGTGGAAAGTCCTTAGGAGAAAGTAAGAACTGATCAAAACCATGAAAATTCTTTAACATGACCTAGAATATCCTACATGGCTGGCTCTTACCTCTCTCCATCTCTTTCTTGCACCATCTTGCATTGTGTATGCTCCCCCTCCAGATAAGTATCAGCCACACTCCAAGCACAGGAGCTGTGCCCCATCTCTCTATAGGGCTAATGATCTCTCTACTCCTTTCCCCAGCATCTTCTGCTCTGTGCAGACCCTGCTGTCTCCCCCCAAATCTCCCTTCAAGTACTGCTGCCTCTGGAAAGCCAGCTAACTCTTCAGCCTTGGTCAAGGTTCTTTACATAACCAAAGTCTTCTTTCTGGGAGTACCCACCTCAATTTGTAATCACAGATCTATTCCTATGGAGTACTAAGACTAAGAATTGACTGCAAGAATGCTGGGATAATGTCTCTTTTGTTTACCATTTTATACCCAGCACATAGCATACAGTAGGTGTTCAATATATATTTGTTAAATAACGAATGGGTCGATGGATGAAGATGTAATGCTCCTGATGTTGCAAAAGGTTCCAAGCACCTTTTTAATTATTTTGCTTATGGCTTGTTCCTCCTATTTCATAAACTCTGTACCACCTTGTTTCAATACTTCCAATTCCCACCTTCCAGCAGATGCATAACAGCATTGTATGGAGCAATGTCTAATTCAAAATGTAGACTGCACCCCCAGACTTCCGTTTTAAGTCTCTTCAAAAATAAAGCTTAATGGAGAGCACAATGAAGTATAAAATAAAAGCTAGTAAATAAAAGAGCAGTAAGATAAAATATTTCAAATATTTGCTTATTTTAAATTTGGTAAATCATTTTTATGTTATTTTCATATACCATGAAAAAACTATACAGGTACATTTCTGGTTTTGTTTTGTTTTTTTTCTTTATCCACTAAACAAAAATATGGATGTTTTCTTTCTTCTTATCTAGAAAATTTTCCTGTATTTATTTTAAAATTTTATTTTTAAATTTTTCCTATATTCCTGCATATTATAGCCCTCCCCATGCCCTCCTTATCTATGGCTCACGTTAGCTGTATGATTTATTATGCAACTATATTTTTTCACTGTATTTTGACAAAGAACATCATCTATAGGGTTTTTGTTGTTGTTGTTTGTTTGTTTGTTTTTAGGTTATTAGCCTATTGCATTACTATTTGGGTTTTTTTTTTTTTCCTATAATGTATAATGTACTGAAAGTAAAAGTTCAAAGATATAGGCGCACAAACTTTGTTCTTTGTATATTCAAAATCCCAGTAACACGTATGAATAATAGTCCACTCACTTACCATTCATTCAACAAATAGACACTAAGCAACTACCATATGCTGTATACATGAATATGTATTAAGTCATTAACCATGCCTGAAACAAACCTGTATTTTCTATTAATGGGGGGAAAAGTAGGAAGACATATACAGTGAATTAAAAAGGTATTGTACACAGTTGTCCCTTAGTATCCTCAGCGGATTGGTTCCAGGACTCCCCATGTATACCAAAATCTACACATACTCAAGTCCCACAGTTGGCCCTGCGGAACTTGCATATACAAAAGTCGGCCCTCTGTGTATGTAGGTTCTCAATTCTGGGAATACTGTATTTTCTATCCAAAGTTGGTTGAAAAAATCCATATATAAGTGAACCTATGCAGTTCAAACCTGTGTTGTTCAAGGGTCAACTGTATATCATGCTACTTTGTATGTTGCCAGAAGAGTAAGAATAATAACAAATATATACTTAGCCTTTACTATGAATTAGGCATTCCTCTACAGGACTTAACAATATTATTTCATCTGTATCCTACCATATCATTACTATTTTACAGATAAAGAAACTAAAATTCTTACAAAAATTAAGTAACTTAGCCAAGGTCACACAGCTAGAGAGAGAACCAATATTCAAACAGTCTAATGGACTTTGCCTAATGAACCTGTAAGTCTTCCCTTTGTAAGAAAATATTCCCTGCCCTAAATAATCTTGTCTCATGGGTGTTGATTCTATCTCTGTGTCCTTGGGGTCAAAGATTGCATGTATTCAATTTCAGATATGGTAGACCAAGGAAATATTGTAGACATGTAGGATGGCAACATGTCAACAGGGCATTTGGCAAAGTTCTTCACGATAACCTTATGAAAGAAGGGAGAAGTAAAACGTGGCCAGTACTCAATTGGTTAGAGCACAGTGTTGATAACACCAAAGTCAAAAGTTTGGATCCTAACTGCAAAAAAAACCCCAAAACTTTTTATCTACAGCATTTGTTATCTAAACATCAGATTTACAGCTAAAATGAAGCTGAGAAGGGTAACAAATATATTAGATCAGTATTTCCCAAAGTGTTCCAAGGAACTTAACAGGTACTGCTTGAAGAAAAGGCTCATATTAAAAGTTGGGCCAACCAATTCCATACAGACAGAAAGTAGACTAGTGGCTCCCAGGGTATGGGAGGAGGAAGGAATTGGGAGTGACTATTAAACAGGTGTATCAGTCACAGGGTTTCTTTTTGTACCTGATGGAAATGTTCTAGAATTAGATAGAAGGAATGGTTGCACAACATGCAAATATATTAAAAACCACAGCATTGTACACTTTAAAATGGTGAAGTTTATGTTATGAGAATTAAATCTCAATAACAGTAAAAAAAAAAAAAATTAAAAAGAAAAGCTGGCCAAAGTTAAATAGGCTTCCCCCCCACCCCCAGGAAACTTATAGCTTTAAAGTAAGCTAATATTAAGCAATTGTAAGTTCAGGTTTATCCTGGATTATCTAAGTGCAGTCCTAGTATATACCTGCTGTCTCTGTTTCAGTATTAACAACATGCCCCTCATTCCCAAACCTCTCCCAACTTGAACAATAAATTATATGATCACCCTAACTATGTATACCCAACCTTCAAGACAGGATAGAGTTTCTCAAATATATCTGACCACTATTATAGTTCAAGTATATATACTTGAGGAAATGCTGCATTAGATGTCATACTAAAGATGAAAAATCATAGAAATCCATTATGTCTGAATTTTTAGTTAAGGAGAGGAGAATTAATTCCCCTGAATGGAAAACACGAATTAAAAAATATTTTATTGACTGAAAATTTTCATAATAGTATACTGCTGCTGTTGCCATTATTCTAACATGCACATTTGAATAGTGGACTTAAATGAATAATCCAAAGACTGGAAATCAAATACAGACAAAATATAAGGCTTGCAAATACCTCTTTAAAAACAAAAACAAGTGGGGGCCGGCCCGGTGGCGCACTGCTACATGCGCCGCTTGGGAGTGCGGCGGCGCTCCCGCCGAGGGTTCGGATCCCACATACAGACCGGTTCCCGCTCACTGGCTGAGCGAGGTGCGGGTGCAACACCGAGGGTTGCGATCCCGTTGCCGGTCCGGTCCGGTACGGGCGCGACACTGAGGGTTGCGATCCGTTGCCGGACACGAAAAAAGACAAAAAGGAAAAAAAAAAACAAGTGCAAAATGGAGGATGACATAGACTTGTGGGGCCTTTTAATTAACAATAAGTAGAATAAATCAATAGTGTGATATCACTAACAAAAAAGTTGTTATAATCTTAAGTTTAATAAGCAATATAGTACACAAAATGAAAATCTCAATATTCCCATCCTACTGATCACAAAATAGTTAAAATATCATGGCCAATTGTGAGAGGGAGTGATGGAGTGGACAGAGCACTAGCTTTGCAGTCAGACAGTCTTGGAATCACATCATGGTTCCAACAATTGATACCTTAGTGACTGCACATAAACCACTGAACCTCTCCGAACCTTAGCTTTCTCATCTATAAAATGGAGTAATGACACCTACCCAGCTGGACTGCTGCCACAAGTAAATGGGAGAGCAATCACGAAAGGCCTGACAAATGCATAGAAGAGCTAAAATGTTAGATGCTGTTGTTTCTGTTTTTATTACTAGTTTTTTATTCTCTTTATAATAAGGGCTTCAGTATTGTCAGGGAAAAAAAATAGCAAAATGCAAAATGAACATCTGCCTCACCTGTCTGCTACACTACCTGGCTGTACCTCCTTCACAAAGATATCAACTTCTCCCAGATTTTGACTTCTAAGTGCCACCACACTGAATCCAAGGCCTCCAGTTGAAGGTCGTTCTATATCTATATATTCAACGTGCCGGCCCTAATGAAGGGGGATAAAGAAAAGTCAGTGTTTACATTTAACCAACATATCCTTTCCACAGAAACGAAATTGCTTAGTGCAAAAATAGCTTCTCCTAAGTCATCTCTGTAAAACCAAACAAACTCAGCATTTTAGTAACAAATTACTTCTGGAAATCCTCTCACTTAATTACTTTCAGTAGAACACAAGAAAGAGTGTGCAGCATTCTGCAATCTCAGGGAATCAAAGAGGTATTTTCACACTTCATTCACATTATGAGATGAATCCCAAGCTGGATGAAAAATGCACTTTTCCACAGTAAATTCTAAATCACTCTTTACATTGAATTTCCCTAAAGTCTCTTGCTACAAAATACATTTCTAAAGGAGGAAAGTAAATTAGATGTATCAAAAATATGCTAGTGTTTATCCTAAGTCAGAACCATGCATTTTTTAAGTCTCTGTTTTTAATTCTACTGTGATGAATTAATATTCCATTTATTAAGCCAATTCAAAAATCTATGGAAAGGCCACCATTCAAATGGGTTCTACTGTGAATTTCGTTCTTTAGTTAATAACTGCTTTCATAACATAACTTCATAAATGTAATCAACTAAAACAAAAACATCACATAAAAATAATTACTAGTTAAATAAAGAGGATTGAGCTATAAAAGTCAAAAAAGGAATTAGGTCCAGAACATTATTTAACTATGAAACTTTAAACAGATTCTTTTTAACTTTCAAACTTGTTTTATTTTCAAAGGCACTTCTTAGATGATGAGTAACAAACACAAAAATAACATAACCAAAAATTCAACTGTCTGTTATTTACTTTTTAATAGGTATTAGGGGTTAAAACTGAATTAGGCTTTCAAATGTTTCCTTAGGTTTTCCAAATTATATTAGTTCTAACTTCACTTAATTCTCTTTTGATATATAGTAGCCCCTTACCCCTTATCCTCAAGTTTAAAACTGAATTAGGCTTTCAAATGTTTCCTTAGGTTTTCCAAATTATATTAGTTCTAACTCCACTTAATTCTCTTTTGATATATAGTAGCCCCTTACCCCTTATCCTCAAGTGATACACTTCAAGACCCCCAGTGGATGCCTGAAACCAAGGATATAGTACCAAACCCTAGCCAAGGAATGCCAAGGTCACCTTTTCTCTTAAAGGAAGCACTTTACAGCTTCTCTTCAGCATGTCCAAATTGCCAGTATCCCTCACTCCTCTTGTGTTTTGGGGCCATTGTTAAATAAAATAAGGGTTAGTAGAACACAAGCACTGTGATGCTGCAACAGTCGATCTGATAACCCAGACTGGCTCCTAAGTAAACTAACAGACAGGTAGCATATACAGCATGGATACCCTGGACAAAGAGATGATTCACATCCTGGGCAGGTCAGAGAGGGAGGACAAGAGAGTTCATCACACTACTCAGAACAGCATACAACTGAAAACTCATGAATTTTTATTTCTGGGAATTTCCATTTAATATTTTTGGACTGCAGTCGACTGCAGGTAACTGAAACTGCAGAAATCAAAACTGCAGGTAAGGGGGAACTACTGTAAAATTAAAAACAGTTTCAAGAGTTTCATCACTTCTGGCAGATATGTTAATTTTCCTCCTATGATCAAAACCAGTAAGAATCTCTTTTCTTTCTACAAGTGTACAGATGTGTCCATTAGAATCACTGTACAAAAACTTTCCTCACCAAACATGTGGATACTATCCCTATGTAAGTTTGCACCAATAAATTTCCAACATTCAGGTTAGAAAATGGTAGCAATTCCTCCTAACAATATAAAACACAAGCAAACAAAATGCATAACAACATATTTTAAGGCAAAAAGAGTAAGTATGGGTTTCTTTTTTAACCTATAACAGATGAAATAAAGCTAAATATTTCCATGACAAGATATAACTTTACCTGGGCCATCTGTTGAATGACTGAGTTAAAGTCCTCATTTCCTGACTTCGGAATCCAAGGAAATAACCCAGATACAGTCAAGTTAGTAGAGGGCCTGTGGGCATTCCCGTTAGTAATGGACCTATCCGTGAACACTAACAGACCTTTCCTAGAAAAATCGAAGTTGGCTGAAGAGTCTGAAGGTATATGGCTGAGCTGTTGGAGAGAAAAACCAAAGAGAATCATCAACAGAAACCCATAGGAAAAAAATTATTTCCATTTATTAAATATTATATTTTGCTCATTACATGTATAATTTGCATGTTAAATATATATATGTGAAAGAAATAAGGTACAGATGTATGAATCTGTCTGGTCATAAGGCTAGAATGTTTAAAAATTTAGTATTAATATATTTTGCTCATTACATGTATAATTTGCATGTTAAATATATATATGTGAAAGAAATAAGGCACAGATGTATGAATCTGTCTGGTCATAAGGCTAGAATGTTTAAAAATTTAGTATTACGCAAAGTGTTTAATAACTTAAAATTTGTTGTTCCCTACCTTCTACCCCTACCCCAAGTTAACAGCATGTATGTTAACATCTCATTACACTGCAAATATGCAGATACATCCAATCATATAAACATGTAAGACACTAAGCCCTTTTGCATTTATCTGTACATTGCCATGTGGGGAGCCACAAAAGACCCACAGGTAGTATATAACAATAACTGTACTTACTGAGTGCTTGCTAAGAGTCAAGTACTATACCAAGACTCTTGCACGTATTATTTCACTTAATCCTTACAACAGCCCTTATCATTACCCTACTTTGTGAACATGAAAACTGAGGCACACAGGGTTTAAGTAACGTGCCCAAGATTTGTAGCAAGTGAGTCACAGAGCCACTTAAACATTAGTAGAAAGAGGAGAATCCCGTAATTACAAGGAGCAGGATTTTAAAAATATCACTGGCTGATACAACTGCCAACAGAGGGGAATGAAGGTAACATTAAGAATAAATGCTAATAAGACCGCACAGAAAAAAAAAATCAAAACTCTGGCTACAGGGATTTTATAGTTCCATAGGATAATATATGATTATGTATATAAGAACTGGAAACTATACAAATATAAAAGATTGTTATTATGATGGGGTAGTTAGTTAAGTCCTCTCATAGTCTAGTAAGAGTGACAGATTTGTATTGATCTTTGCCAATTTCAATTGCTACCAACAGCTTTCACTACTGTAATACATGTCTCATTCCATGACCAGGGAATACAGAAAGTTAACTTTGAATATGGGGGTGCTAAAATGATGGTACAACTCTGATCTAAAGAAAGAAATTCACAGAAAAGACATTTGTGTAGAGTTTAGTTCTTTATTGGCTATAAACAAATTACTTATTACTTATGGGCAGGCATTTTGGTTTATCAGCAAAAAATACTTTTTCCCAAATTTTGTTAATTTTCACTTATTAACAACTCTGCTAAATTATCTCCACTTACATTTAAAATTTTGCCCAAATTTAGTCTGTAGTATAGCTACTATTCAAGCTTAGCTTCCAGAATAGATGATTTTAAAGCAATTTGCCATCCCTGATCCCCAAACATAGAACCCAAAAGGACAGTTAAAACTATTAATTGGATCAGTCTAAGACAAGGTGTTATGTATCCTTTAATTACACAACTTATGTACTTAGAGACTGCAGAGTCCAGGTAGCATGGTATATGTAGTAGAAGAAACATAGATAAATATTAAAACACCAGGTGTACTGCTTCCAAGCAACTTCTAATCAGAATATTCATGATGAGAGACAATAAATATTGGGTAATCAAGAGAGGTATGCATAATGTGCTACAAGGGCATGATCACTTCTTGCTAGACAAAAGACTTCATAAAAAACATATATTTAAATCAACCACTATTTTATAATTTTGAAGATGTTGAGAATTCTCAAAGCGTTTGACCTTTACATATTTAAATAAGCACAAAAACCATATTCCAAAGCCAAACACAAAATGTATTATCAACCTTTTTAAACTGTCCATGCCAATGCTACCCACAGGTTACAGGTCCCAATACAGTCTCTTTGATAAGACTCTTTATAGAGATTATTTGTCTCTATCTCCTTCCATCTTCCTTTGCTGGTTTGAATATCAATGTAAAACCCTAATAAGTAACTTACCTGCCCCTTCAGTTGCTTGATGGACTGCTGAAGTGTGAGTATCTGGTTGAAGAGAGGACTCCTTATTGTCTCATAAAACATAGATAGCTTCTCATTCTGTGATGTGTCACCCTTTTCCTGTAATTTCATTTTCAGGCGATCAAGAACCTGCAGGACCTGCAGTTTATCTTTGTTGAAGAAGGACAATCAGAGCACAAGTTAAGTCCCATCTTATATTCCATTTCTGATTCATTAGTTAATTTAGTAATAGAAAAATATATCTAATATACCTGTAGCAGGATTTTCAGGCATTTTGAATTATTTTCTTCAATCGCTTTTTTAAAATCCTAAAGAAAAATTTAAAAATACAAAAGATGAATTTTCTTCAATATATACATACATATAGTACTGTAGAAAAATTAAAGAAAACCTCAAGAACTATTCTTCATCAAAAGACATCACTCAGTAAAATTCAAATTAAAACCACAATGAGATGCGACTATATATCCACTAAGATGGCTAAAATTAAAAAACAAAAAAGATAATACTAAGTGTTGATGAGGCTGTGAAACAACTGCAAGTATCATACATTGTTAGTAGGAATGTAAAATGGCCCAATTATGTTGAAAAATTACTTGGCAGTTTCCTATAAAGTTAAAAATACACTTACTAGATATCCCAGCACTTCCACTCATAAATTCTTACCCAAGGGAAATAAAAATATATGCCCACAAAAAGAAAGCTCATAGCATTTTTATTTATAAAAAAAAAGTCCAAAGCTAGAAAAACCCAAATGTCTAATAACAGATGAATGGATAAACAACTAATGGCATATAAATAAAATATTCAGAAATAAAAAGGAAAAAATTACTGATAGACACAACAAGGATGAAACTCAAAAATAGTATGTTGAGGGAAAGAAATTGACCAAAAAAGACACAAATCGTATGATTCCATCCATATGAAGTTCAAGAACTGAGAAAACTAACGTATAACTATAGATTAGTTTACCTTGGGCAGGGTGGAAGGGAGGTAACTGGTGTTGAATGAGGTCTAGAACACGCTACCCCAAAATATGGCATCTGTATATTGAATATTTTGAGCTGATGGAATTTGAGAAATAGCAGGTACAGAAAGGACTTCCCCTGAAGCATGTCAGAAGATCCTCATGTGAGAGATTCTTTCTCTACACCGAGAGGATAGGAGCATCTTTGTGCCCCAAGACAGAGGGACACCACGAGGAATCTGAACAAACAGGCCTTGCTAAGTTTTCCCCAGTTTACTACTCTTAGTTTATATCCCTTTTTGTCATATCACATTTTTACATGACTCTCCACTCTTCATCCAACCTATTATAAAAACGCTCAGGTTTAACTGTTTCTTCAGGTATTCATTTCTTTATGAAGTCTCTCGTGTCATGTAAAACTTGTATTAAATAAATTTATGTGCTTTTCTCTTGTTTATCTTTATTACAGGGGTCCCACCCAAGAACTTAGAAGTGTAGAAGGGAAAGATATTTTTTCCTCCCCTATACTGGGAAGGGGTTCAAAGGAGCTTTGTGGGGTGATGGAAATGTTCTGTGTTTTGAGTGGGGTACTATTTTACACAGATGTACACATTTATCAAAATTCACTGAACTGGGCCAGCCCGGTGGCGCACTCAGTAGAGTGCGGCGCTTGGGAGTGCGGTGGCACTCCCGCCAAGGGTTCGGATCCCATATAGAGACCGGTCCGCTCACTGGTTGAGCGCGGTGCAGGCCCGACACCGAGGGTTGCGATCCCGTTACCGGTCACAAAAAAAGACAAAAAGTAAAAAAAAAAAAATTCACTGAACAATATAGTTTAAGATTTTCTTTTGTTTGCAGCTGGCCTGTACAGGGATCCAAACACTTGCTTGACCTTGGTGTTATAACCTGTCTAGCCAACTGAGCCACGTGGCCAGCCCATTATATATTTTAAATGGGTATATTTTATTGTACATAAATTATACTTTAATAAAGTAGATTTCTAAAAAGGATTCTGAGCTGGAGACAAACATCCAAATTAAGAAATCAAGAAGATTTTAGAAGAGATTAAAAAAAGAAAAGAAAAATTGGGCTGGCCAGTTAGCTCAAGTTGGTTTGAGCACAGCCTTTTAATGTCAAGGTCCAGAGTTCGGACCCTATACTGATCAGCCAACAAAAAGAAAAGAGAAAAAAAAGAGAAAAATCCCAAAGCTACACAAATGATCTCAGACTCTTACTGGTCATTTGAATCAACAGAAGAAAACCACCCAATGACATTCTCTGTGAATAGTGTTTTTTAATTCTAGTGAATTAATTAATTAAATAATTCAAATTAGCCTAAAGTGCAAATAATCAAAACTCAAAAAGCTAGCAAAACCATCTGCTATGACCAAAATGACACTTTCCTGGTGATCATTTTTACCAGTGATACACTGTTGAAATGAACTATCAAAGAAATACGAGCATTATATAATCAAAATTTTCTTATATCAATCCAGATACAAGTAGCTGAATGAGATCTTTATCTTCTAATTCGAGACATTAAGCAAGAAAGCATATTAAAAACCAGTAAAGTTGAGCTATACATTTTACAAACAAACAAACAAAAACAGTAAGGGATGTCATCAGCACTGATAAAAGGTCAAAGTATTCCATCTAAATGTTCACTGGATTTAATGGGAACTACCAAAAGAATTGCTGAACAGAGCACCACAGAAACACTTCTGATGTGCTCAGCATCTCAATTGTGCAAACCTTATAATCACCCATTGACAGATAACTGTGAATAACAGAAGGGCAGTAAGGATGACACTGTCCTTTTCTATAGCAGTATATAGTCCAAAAGGAATCACAACAGCAGCTTGGTGGTCATTAATTAACCCCTCTAAATCAAAGAATGCTAGCTAAAAGAATGAGATGCTATTTTTTACTGTCAAATGTCAATCTGACATTTAGTAACTTACTGAAAATTAATAATATCCTATATTCCAAATGTCATTGAAAATCAGGTGGGAGTATAAATTTGCAGAGTCCTTTAGGAGGACAACTTAGCAGTATCTATCAATATATCAATATATATTAAACTTACATTCTCTTTTACCCAGAATTTTTACTTCTGAATCTCTCTCCTAAATACTTGTAAAAGGACACAAAAAGGGCATTTACTGCATTGTTTTCAACAGCAAAACTCCTGGAAAAATTAAACTATCAAAAGCAATCAGTCATTAAAATAATAAAGTAGATCTGAATGTACTGAAAAGGGAATGAGGAGGAAATGGTTAACAGTAAGCCTGTAGCTTACTCCTTCAGCTTGAGGGATTCTCTGCATGATAGCAGACCTCCTAGCAAACAAGCTAAAGGTTAACAGATAACACAGAGCCTCTTATTTTAAAATGTCAGGATATATCTGGTCTGTCTTAATTGCTTTTTGTAAATAATCTAAGAATTTATGGATTTATGGGGCATGAATGGCTTGGAAAAGGGAGATAATCACAGACATTTTCTATTTGTGTAACTAATAGAGTACAGAACTAGAGATTCCCAAGATAGAAAAGGCTTTCTTTAGGAAAAATGTTTCTGTATATATCGTTCAGAGCTTGTCACTTAATCCCCCCAAAAAATAATTTTGTCCTGAGGTTGACTCTTACTCCTATAAACATATTAAGAACTGCAGTAAAAGTCTGTCAGAAATACACTTATAAATGATTTCATATCGGCCGGCCCGGTGGCGCACTGCTACAGTGTGCCGCTTGGGAGCGCAGCAGCACTCCCGCCAAGGGTTCGGATCCCACATACAGACCGGTTCCCGCTCACTGGCTGAGTGAGGTGCGGGCGCAACACCGAGGGTTGCGATCCCGTTGCCGGTCCCGGTCCGGTACGGGCGCGACACTGAGGGTTGCGATCCGTTGCCAGACACGAAAAAAAGACAAAAAGGAAAAAAAAAAAAAAAAAAAGATTTCATATCAATCCATATGTAACTAATATTTTACGTATGCTGACAATATGTCCAAGTGTGGAAGAAAGTGACATTCTTTGGAAGCTATGCCTGCTAGCTGGGGTCTCCTCCAGGAAGGAATACTCATCTGTGCCTGTCACCTCTGAATCACGAGGAAGGTCTGCAGTTGGGTATGATCTCTTCATGTGAGTATGCTTTGCCAATCCAACCCTTTGTATTAACACAGGGAAGTTATCCAAGACACACAACTGAATGGGGAAAACAGTCTCAGCATACGTGCATTATGTTCACATTTTTGTGAGAGAAAAAAGTATGTGGGAGGGTGTTTCTAGAAAAAGATTTAGAAAGATAGCCAACTTAGTAATAGTTATTACCTCTAGAAAGTAGAAGTAGGGAGGGAGAGATTTAAAAATTAGACCTTATAGATTTCAGTACTGTTTGAATTTTATTTAAAAAGCATGTATTAATTTTATAATTTAAAAAATAGTAAAAGTGACAAAAAGACGATGGCTAAGATGGCCTAATGAGGGCTGGCTGGTTAGCTCAATTGGTTAGAGTGCAGCCTGGTAACACCAAGGTCAGGGGTTTGGATTCCGATACCAGCCAGCCACGAAAAAAAAAAAAAAAAGATGGCCTAATAGAGCAAGACAGATATGTAGCTAGATAATGACAATACAGTGGGATAATTATACTGTAAGGCATATACACACAATAGCAGAGGTGTGTACCATGTGCTAAGAGAAATCATAAAGGGAGAGTGACTAACCCTGCCCAGGACCTTTAGGAATGCTGGAATGAGAACACATCAGAAAACTCCCTCATTGTAAAAGAAAAAGAGTTGGGTGGAAAAGTAAAAGTAATCATTTGCCCTCATTTGCCCAAGATAGTCTCCAGCCTCAGGGTATCCAGCATCATTAATAGTGCTCCATTGCATTCTCAAAAGTGTCCCCGTTTGAATGACATATAAGGCTACCCTAGATCAGTGTGGTTCTCAAACTTAAGCATTTATCACAATCACCTGTAGGGCCTGTTAAAATACAAACTTCAGGGGCCGCCCCGTGGCGCACTCGGGAGAGTGTGGCGCTGGGAGCGCAGCGATGCTCCCACCGCGGGTTAGGATCCTATATAGGGATGACCGGTGCGCTCACTGGCTGAGCGCGGTGCGGAGGACACCACACCAAGGGTTGCAATCCCCTTACAGGTCACGAAAAAGACAAAAAAAAAAAAAGTACAAACTTCAGGACTCCATCCCAGTGTTTCTGATTCAGTAGGTCAGAGGCAGGCCTGAGAATTTGCATTTCTAACAAGTTCTCATGTGACCCTAATGCTGCTAGCCCAGAGGCCACAATTTAA